GCGGGCCTCAAATCTACTGGGTAAGATCCAGAAGCTTGACCTTTATGAAGAGGCTGAATAGCGTCCCATTTGACTAAGAAGGAACTGCACTTTTTGCGAAAGCATCCCCTGAATATGGGTATGTGTCAAACCAGGAGAACCCCAAACCTGGTTGGTCTACATTTGGTTTCCCTTCATACCAACCCAACAAAGAATACCCTCACTAAAGTGCATATGAATTATCCGCCACGGTTGAATCCGGGGTCAAAACTAGCCGTTGCTGCATGCATTGGCGACCCGCAGGCGTTGACGCCCCGCTGGAGCGCTGCTTCAAGCAAGTGGCTTTTTGCTTCGGCACAGGCGCCCCGTGCTGCCAGGGTTGTCCTTTTCGGCCAAGAGGGACACATTTAGATTGAACTTGACCAGACACAGCTCATGTGATGTGTCTGAGTGTGTGTGTGTGTGTGTGGTGGCAAAGGTAAGTTGTCTTACAGCCAGATGCATTTGAGAGACTGGCTCGCTGGCTTGTCCCACATCAATCTACGAACTATGCCAGAAGGTAGTGCCAGATGGTACAGTAGTGGTTTCCCTTGTTCCTTGCCACCGTGGATTTCGGATTGCGATTAGAGATCCCGCCGAGTGTGTGTGTGTGTGTGACTTGAAGCAATCACCCAGAGGTTTGCGGCTCATGAGACATAACAGTTGCGATGAACAAAAGTGTCTATGCCCGCCAACGGCGGATTCTTGTACTTGTACCCAGAGCGTCGCCTCTGATCCATTTTGAACTTGGCACGAGTTATGATGACATTTAGGAAGCTCGCCCAACCCGCGAAATGCTGAAACCCAGCATGGCTAAACGAGCTTGGCAGCTAACCCCCAACGATAGACTCAAACCAACTGGGGAACCCCCCCTTAGGTCCTTGGGTCCTTGGGTCCTGGTTATTTCCTGATCCCAGATAGCCAGGTCTTTTTTGGTCGGGACCAAACAGGCTCCCTCGAGAATGGTCCGAAAATGTGATCCACCCACTATTCCCTTTTATGGGGTTCTTCTTTGAGGGTACCCTTTTTTTAGGTTGGTTTAGACAAAAGCCTAAAGGAAAGCCACCATTTGAGTCGCAATCAAAGCCTGGCAAAAAGGTGGTCAGCCTAAAACCCATACTCAAGAATCAACAGCGCACCTATATATATATATGTATATGGCAGCACCTATTTGCGGTTGGGACTATCCCACCTTCGTCTCCCCGGGTGTTGCGGACGTGGCTCATGGATGTTCCACCCAGCCCGGGTGCGAACCACGAAGCGTTTCCGCAGATGACAGCGAGCGGCTGCGCCGAGCCCGGCGCGCCCTTGCGGCGGCCTTTGGGCTCGCGAGCTGAGAGAAGACGCTCCGAAAGCGAGGAGAGGTTCTTCAAAACGAGGGGCGTCATCTTTGCTCAAAAAGGGTTTATGTTGGATCGGTTGTCTTAGACCAAGTCTTCTGTGCGAAAAATGGTGGGTCCCTGTTCCACCAGAGCCTTCTTGGGGGGGGGTTGCTTTGACCTAAGGGAAAGCTCGAGTCAAACTGGGATCTTTGAAGAAACCCTTTGCCCCTCTCCGAAGCTCGGACCAAGCGGAGGGGGCGGTCGGAACTTGACAACGATAACAAGCGGTTTGCAAGCGGGCTGCCAGTGCCAACCCAAAGAAATCGTGGAGTGGTTCTTTATCTACTTCCATTTTGGCGTTGCAGTGGTGCCCACCAGGTGACTTTTGGGATGTACCTCTTGGGAAACGCGAAACTCTGTTTCGCTGGAAGCTTCTGGGACACATCACTCTTCCATCTCAGTGTTTTGAAGTTCACGAGGGGCAATGCCCGATCCGATCAGAACACGGGAATTTGCGTTGTTCGGGTCCTGATTTGGATCATGTTGCGGGGAGCCTCTGGACAGAAGTATCCAGGGAGGTGACATCCAGATCTTTTTCTATGCAGGCCTATGGAAAAGCCTCGGCCAGCCATCAATAGCACGGAGCTGAAACTGGCTACGTGAAAAGAAGGGGCAGGGCTGGCTGGGTGGAGACACGGGCTGCACTGAGAGTTGTTTTCAGACGCACCCCTCACTCAGAATCTCGTTGACAAACAGGACTCGAAACCAATTCTGTGATAGTCCTGGATGTTTGATGCTGCTGAAGCCAAGAGTTGTCACGCCAATGAGCGTCATTGTTTTGCGTGTGCGTGCTCATGTGTGTTGTGCGCGTGCGAAAGCAGGTGTGCATCTTGCTGCACAATGCCGTTCTGCATTGTGTTGCGTTGCCTTGCAGTGTGTTTGTGTGTGTGTATGTGTCAAATTGCGCCCTTTTTGGACCCCTTTTCAAAGGAGCTCCAGAACGGGTAATTACCATACGTTTCACAGCTTGACTCATTCGACCATTTTGGGAAGTCTACTGTTGAGAAACTCCATTCATGTTGTGCGTGTGTGCCAGCCGTTTTGGAGGTCTTTTTGTGTGTGCGCTGTGAGAGTCCGCCGACTTTGGCACGAGCAGGTGACACAGTACAGGTGCTGGGCGGATCCCAGGCCGGGGCTGTCCTTTGTGGCGCTCGCCAGCGGGTTGAAACCGAGCAACTGGAGTGCCCTTTGCCCATGGCCACCGGGGGTTTGAGTTACAGCTGGGACAGTCAGAAGATCACCTTTGCTGGCTGATTTAGAGGATGTCCTTGTAAACCAGGTGGTTTTCGGATCTATCCTTTTAGGATTTCGGGGACAGTTGGACGCCGCCCCATTTTGTTGGTGGACACTCATCAGCCGCCCAGACTTCTGAGCTCGCGACGAAAGAACTCGGGTAACGTGCAGCGGAAGCCGACAAACAAGAGCAGGTCAGTCAGTGACCACAACATGCAGATTGGGCTCAGGGCACCAAGAAGCAGCCGCGACGGCGGTGGCGGCAAGTGCCAATAAAGCCGGAATGACTTTCCTACCCCGATCGAGTGGATGTTGTTGAGTGGCGCAAATGACCCACCATCCGTGAAGAACTCGCTTAAACCCGGCGCGAACACGGGCGCACGGTCTGATGGACATAGTCTCATCGATCCAGCCAGTGAACCCGCGGTGAGTGCGAGGCAACAAACTCAGATGTTTGCTTAGTGAGCTTTTGGCAGGCTTGAAAGTTGCGAAGCCAAGGGTACTGATGGTACTCCCTGGGGTCAGTCATCAAGGTGGCAAGCTATTGTGTTGGCCAAATGGTAATCTCGGTCTTGCAATACGTCCTTCTGCCACTCTTTTGCCACTTCTTTGGCAGCAGCATCTTTCGTTTCCTGTCGGGAAGGGTCACGTCCAGGAGCTCGGACAAACTCAGCGTCGGGGCAAACCGCCCATCTTGCGGTGACTTCCTGTCGCAAGCCTCGTTGATCTCCAAAAGAGAACCCTGTACGAATCCATCTCGTCATCAAACAAATGGGTGTTTCTCAAAATAGGGGTCCCCTTTTAGGGTCTGGTTTTAACCAAAAGGACACCAGCCCCCTGAAGTGATTCACCTTGAGAAACATATGGAGCCCTTGGGCTTGGTGCTCCTAAGGGACCCGCCTCGCAGGTCCTCACAGTCCTCGCATTCCGATGAGGCAGGCAGCCTTAGCGCTAGGAAGCTATAGTGAGCCACAACCATGGGAAGGGCAAGTCACAAGTCGCCACTAGGCACTACATGTCACTAGGCTGTAATTTCTTTGTACGCCTCGAACTGTCCACAAACAGCTTTGAGTGGGATGTCAAGGACCGTGATGTCACTGAAATTGTCTCCGCCAAATGAATCGCAAGATTGAATCTCTGGTGAGGTGTTCCATGTTAAATGGGACCCTCCGAGTATTCGACCAGGTTGACAAATCCGGGGTTTGCGTTAGCCAAGAAGAAAATGGGAAATGGGGTACAACCCTGGGCGCACGCGTCATTAGCCCTTCGCTTTACATTCAAGATCCCAGAATCGTGTGGTGAAGTTCACCATCTGCGTTCGATGTTGCCTGCCTTTTTTGGTGGCGAGCCACTTCTACCGACACTGACTTGGCTCCTGATGCAAGGTCTCTTACTGAAGGGTTCTTAGTAGATGCTGGTGAATTGAAGTAAATCGTGCAGAAGTGATCCAAAGAAGGGAGCTTGTGGGGCATTGCAGCAGTGTGCCGCATCCTTAGAGGTGACCGCACAGTGTTGTCTGTTTGGAGTGCATGTTCCCGTGTTTCACCCAATGCCATGGTGGATGAAGTGACGGTCGCGGAGGTGTGGCCAGGGTGAATGCTGTGCATACACAAAACAGAGCAACAGACGCACACATACAACCAGACACACCCGCCCACCCGTCCGCCACACGCCACACACACACACACAACCCACCACGCACCACCCACCCACCACACACCACGGCACCCGGCACCACGGCACCACACACCACACACGACGGCACAACACACACACACCACACCACGGCACCACACACACACCAAACACCACACGCCACACACCACACACACCACACCACACACCACACACCACACACCACACACCACACACCACACACCACACACAATACACCACACACCACACACCACACGCCACACAGCACACAGCACACACCACACACCACACACCACACACCACACACCACACACCACACACCACACACCACACACCACACACCACACACCACACACCACACACCACACACCACACACACACACCACACACCACACACCACACACCACACACCACACACCACACACCACACACCACACACCACACACCACACACCACACACCACACACACACCACACACACACACCACACACACACACACACACACACACACACACACACACACACACACACACACACACCACACACACACACACACACCACACACACACACACACACACACACCACACACACACACACACACACACACACACACACACACACACACACACACACACACACACAACACAACACAACACAACACAACACAACACAACACAACACACACACACAACACAACACAACACAACACAACACAACACAACACAACACAACACAACACAACACAACACAACACAACACAACACAACACAACACAACACAACACAACACAACACAACACAACACAACACAACACAACACAACACAACACAACACAACACAACACAACACAACACAACACAACACAACACAACACAACACAACACAACACAACACAACACAACACAACACAACACAACACAACACAACACAACACAACACAACACAACACAACACACACACACACACACACACACACACACACACACACACACACACACACACACACACACACACACACACACACACACACACACACACACACACACACACACACACACACACACACACACACACACACACACACACACACACACACACACACACACACACACACACACACACACACACACACACACACACACACACACACACCACACACACACACACACACACACACACACACACACACACACACACACACACACACATCACACATCACACATCACACATCACACATCACACATCACACATCACACATCACACATCACACATCACACATCACACATCACACATCACACATCACACATCACACATCACACATCACACATCACACATGACACATCACACATCACACTCACACTCACACATCACACATCACACATCACACATCACACATCACACTCACACACTCACACACCTCACACCTCACACCTCACACCTCACACCTCACACCTCACGCCTCACACCTCACGCCTCACGCCTCACGCCTCACGCCTCACGCCTCACGCCTCACGCCTCACGCCTCACGCCTCACGCCTCACGCCTCACGCCTCACGCCTCACGCCTCACGCCTCACGCCTCACGCCTCACGCCTCACGCCTCACGCCTCACGCCTCACGCCTCACGCATCACGCCTCACGCCTCACGCCTCACGCCTCACGCCTCACGCCTCACGCCTCACGCCTCACGCCTCACGCCTCACGCCTCACGCCTCACGCCTCACGCCTCACGCCTCACGCCTCACGCCTCACGCCTCACGCCTCACGCCTCACGCGTCACGCCTCACGCATCACGCATCACGCATCACGCATCACGCATCACGCATCACGCATCACGCATCACGCATCACGCATCACGCATCACGCATCACGCATCACGCATCACGCATCACGCATCACGCATCACGCATCACGCATCACGCATCACGCATCACGCATCACGCATCACGCATCACGCATCACGCATCACGCATCACGCATCACGCATCACGCATCACGCATCACGCATCACGCATCACGCATCACGCATCACGCATCACGCATCACGCATCACGCATCACGCATCACGCATCACGCATCACGCATCACGCATCACGCATCACGCATCACGCATCACGCATCACGCATCACGCATCACGCATCACACATCACACATCACACATCACACATCACACATCACACATCACACATCACACATCACACATCACACATCACATCACACATCACACATCACACATCACCCATCACGCATCACGCATCACGCATCACGCATCACGCATCACGCATCACGCATCACGCATCACGCATCACGCATCACGCATCACGCATCACGCATCACGCATCACACATCACACATCACACATCACACATCACACATCACACATCACACATCACACATCACACATCACACGCACGCACACACCACACGCACGCACGCCCGCACGCCCGCGCGCGCCCGCCCGCCCGCCCGCACACACTCACGCACGCACGCACGCACGCACGCACGCGCGCGCACACGCACACGCACCCACACACACACACCCACCCACCCACCCACCCACCCACACACGCCCGCACGCACGCACGCACGCGCGCGCGCGCACGCAGCACGCACGCCCGCACATGCGCGCGCACACGCGCACGCGCAAACGCGCACGCGCAAACGCGCACGCGCACGAGCAAGAGCACGCGCACGCGCACGCGCACACGCGCACCCGCGCGCGCACACGCACACGCGCACGCGCACCACGCGCACCACGCGCAACACAGGCAGCACACGCAGCACACGCAGCACACGCACCACCACACGCACCACACACGCCCCACACACGCACTACACACGCACCACACACGCACCACACACGCACCACACACGCACCACACACGCACCACACACGCACCACACACGCACCACACACGCACCACACACGCACCCCACATGCACCCCACACGCACCCACACGCACCACACCCGCACCACACACGCACCACACACGCAACACACACGCACCACACACGCGCCACACACGCGCCACACACACGCGCCACACACGCGCCACACACGCGCCACACAGGCGCCACACACACGCAACACACACACGCGACACACACGCGACACACGCCACACACGCCACACACGCCCCACACGCCACACACGCCACACACGCCACACGCGCCACACGCGCCACACGCGCGCCACACGCGTGCCACAC